GGTACTACTTCCAGGTTAGTGGAGTCTGTAACCCGAAGTGTTTGTGACCAGAAGTGTTTGTAAACTGAGGTAGCACTGTATTTATTTTACCTTTAAAGCAGCCGTCACCAACCTGGTGCCCTCCAGATGGGGCAGACCACAGCTCCCATCAGCCCCAGCTTTCACAGCTGAGGAAGGGTGTGGGGAGTTTGCGGCCAAGCCTTGCTCCTGGCACATCAGCGTTATTCCATGCAGAGCCCTACACCAGATTTAAGGGTGAAGGGAGTCATGTGACGGCTCCCCATGTGATTTAGAAACCCTGATCATGCAGGAATCAGCTCCAGAGAGGCCATTAGAAATCAATTTGTTAACTAAGAGGAAAGCCCTGTTTAAAGCAGACAGAGAGAGGGTGAGAAAGAAAGAAAGAAAGAAAGAAAGAGAGAGAGAAAGAGAGAGAAAGAAAGAAAGAAAGAAAGAAAGAAAGAAAGAAAGAAAGAAAGAAAAAGTACTAAGCCTTCATTTTACGTAAACTGAGTACAAATATCTGCAGACTCCAGGGCACAATATGCCATCCTTTGCAAAGGTGCCAGATCAGCACTCCTTAAAGTCCTCTGGATTCTGGAACGGCCAGCATCCCACAAAAAGCAGGGCAGCAAAGTAGAACAACAGAAATACGCGTTGCAATTCTAAATGTCATTTTTTTCGTTCCTGCGGAAATAAATAAATAAATAACCAAGCTGCCGCTGTTTAAATGGAAAGTAAATCTTGCCCTGTCACGGCACCTGACTGAGCATCGTGCAATATGGGGTGAGGGTGGGGGGGGGGAGATCTCTCAACTTGTCTGAGAGCGTTCCAAAAATGGCAGTTTAAAAATTATCAAAATTGCTATACAGTCCTGTTCCATATTTAGTGCCCAGATTATCCCACAAAGATGTTCTCGACTAATAAATTCCTAATTACAGTCTTCCTAAACCAGCAAACACTTCAGGCCTGTCAAACAGCTCCAATAATTCAGAAATGTGAACGCAGATCGTTTTTCGAAAAATGAAGCAGTGCCTGGCCAGTCAGACAGCCAAAAAATGATTACTCAAGCCTCACAGGGAAAGGATTATTTATGATAATCCATGCAATTCACAGACTTGAGCTCCACAGGAGATTTTCTTTTTTCTTCCTTTAACTTTATTTGAAGTGGGAGCTGGAGGGATGACAAACTCCTTCAAATGCCAGCCCTGCTTTGCCCATATTTATGTCCAGTCTAAATCTGATTGTCACGTAATTTCCACAATATTGCAGCTCAATACCGTTTATGAGTAAAGATGTTCTTATTGATCCAACCACCAAAATCGCATGCTGGGCTCTACGGGAAGCCAGAACTGAAATGACAGCAAAACTACAGTCTTAGATCCTGTACAGAAACTAGGGTGAATAAAGCCTTTTCCTTACCTGCCCGAATAATTGCATTGCATTGCTATTTTTGAGATCAGGCCCTGGGCAATTAATTGCTAGGGAATCCATGACTCTGCATGGCCACAGTGATGATGCCAAAGAGAATGGATGTGGTGCAATGGTTATAGCACCAAATTAAGATGGATGAGACCTTCTAATACCCATTCAGCTATGAAGTTCACCAGGTGACCTTGTGCCAAACACTATCCTTTGGGGAAGGACTATAACTCGGTGATAAGAGCATGTGGTTTTCATGCACAAGGTTCCAGGTTTGATCCCCAGCATCTTCAGGTAGGACCAGGACAGAAGACCCCATCTGAATCTTGAAGAACCATTGCCAGTCGGTGTAGACCAGACAGAGTCAATGTGGTGCTGCTGAACTCCAGCTCCCATTGACACTAGCCAGCATGGCCCAAATGCCAAAAGATAACAGGAGTCTTACTCCAACACCATCTGGAGGAAACCACTTTGGCTGCCCCTTGTGTAGACAATACTGACCATGGGTCTGCCATAGCAAACCTAACTTCCAGGAACCTGCCCTTTGGCACCAACTAAACAACATCAGTTAGCCACTCCCTACTGAGAGGCAATATGCCAGCAAGTATTAGTTTCTAGGATGGATTTGGGAGAAATTCAACTCAGTTCACATTTAAAGGCGAACTTACTTAATTCACACTTTTGGAAACAATATGAGAACCAAAACACAGCCATCCTTTGAAATTTGCACTTCTCTGAATTCCACAGTGCAGTTTTCCAGCCAAGTAATATGTGCAAAAAATGCATCTATTAGAAAGGTACGCATACATGCACATAAATAACTGACATTGATGCATTATATTTGAAAAAAGTGTATATTAGAGAAAAACGCATATGACAATGTGAGCATTAGGAGAAATTTGCACTAAAATGCAAAAGAATTTTAATGAGGACATTTTTAAAAAATGCAAACCGATTTGAAAATGTAGAGAACTGAACTTAAGACTGGAAAAATGAGAAATGGGGAGAAACCAAACCTGACAGATTTGCCCATCTCTAGTTACCAGGGAACTGTTCTCCCTTATGAGATTCCCTAGGCATCTGGCTGGTCAATGTTGGAAACAACAGGCTTTACAGTGGTACCTCGGGTTAAGAACTTAATTCGTTCTGGAGGTTTGTTCTTAACCTGAAACTGTTCTTAACCTGAAGCACCACTTTAGCTAATGGGGCTGCTGGGCCGCCGCTGCATGATTTCTGTTCTCATTCTGAAGCAAAGTTTTTAACCCAAGGTACCATTTCTGGGTTAGCGGAGTCTGTAACCTGAAGTGTCTGTAACCTGAAGCATCTGTAACCCGAGGTACCACTGTATTAGATAAGCTTGAAGGTCTAATACAGCAAAGCCATTCTCCAAATGTGCAGGGAGGCTTCCTGTGGGGAATGGAAAACTTTCCTAGAATCAAAAGAAGCTGCCTTATATCCAGTGAGGCTGATTTGTACATCTAGGCCAGTATTGTCTATTTTGACTGGCAGTGGCTCTCCAGGGTCTCAGGCAAAGGATCTTTCCTGTGATCTCTTCCCTGATTCATGACACGCTAGAGGATCCACACATTGAACCTGAGACCTTCAGCATTCAGAACATGCACACCTACCACTGATGTACAGGCTGGAATGCGATCGTAGTCATGAGGCTGCAATCTGACACGCATCGTTAATATTGGGCAAAGCAATCTTAACAGCAAGGAATGAAACAGAAAGATAAAGTGGGCAATTCTTACCATAAAAATAAGGGGAGGGGAACCCCAACAAACCAGGACCATGAAAATATGCAGACTGGTTCTCACTTTTGTGGAAAAGGCAAATTCTCCACTTATTGCAGCCTGTTTGAATTTAACATCCCTGAAAATGCAACATCAACCTGCGCCCATCAGCCTTGGCCAATTTTACCCTTTGGTCATACAGTTTCAGCTGTGAATCTCCCTTCTGGGCACAGTAAACGAGAAAATATTTTTTCCCCTATCATGAAGGAAGCCAGCCTGAGAATCCCATCCTGCATGCACTTGAGCGAAGCCAGTTGAGACGGAAGTGCTCTTCATTCCCTTCACAGGCAGAAACATGCCACACAGTCACGGAAGAAATGCTAACCTCTCTTTGCCTCGGCCACAAGGGATGCAGGTCTTTACAGAGTCAACATTATCCATCCTAATAAAAATGTCATAAGTCAGCCGGTTTGAATTCCCCTCTCTTCAGCATCAGGCATCAAGAATTATAATCGACTTTCAAATGCTTAACTCAGGCAGGTGAAAGGAAAACTTAACAATGTGAACTCCTGGCAGTTTAGCATTCGAGGGCCTTCAATCACATCTAAACTTAGCAGTGAAAAGACCTTCACACAAAAGATGGAACGGTCTTGTTCTCTCTGTCACTCCACAGGGCAGGACTAAGCCAATGGGTGGAAATTGCAGGGAGGCAGGTTGGGATAAACTTTTTTTTAGGGCAAGATCTGTTTGACAGTGGAACATACTGCCTGTGGAGACACAGGCTGCCCCTTTGCTGGAGGTTTCTAAGCAACGGCTGCACAACCATCTGTCAGAAGTGCTTAGTTGCACCCATCATTGTCTATCCTGCACTGACCACCAACATCCCTTCTGACTCTAAAAGGGTGCTTCCACAAAGCACATTTAAAGCACATTACTTTCCCCAAAGTATCCTAGGAACTCTAGTTTATGCCTTGCAGAGCTACAATTTCCAGCACTCTTTTAATCAAGATTTACCAGACAGAGGGACACATGTGAAAGCATCAAACAAGTATCTTTTGGATCCTGGTAGGGAGCAGTTAATCACTAAAACCATATATTTTTTTACACTGACTGACAAAACAGAATTGCTCAATTCTGACAGCAAAATGTTTCAGCTTCGGCCTTTGCAAGTTGCTTGATAAAATATAACACTGTTTCCAAGGTGACCATTACTGAATTCTGAGCTAACGCTGGATTTTCCTGGGAAACAGCAGATCCAGTTTAAATGCAAAACTAATACGGGGCATTGTGTGGACACTGTGAGAAGCTTGCATGCACAATTAGTTCCAACTCCACAATAAACCGTCTTGTGGAAGCCCACAAATTCTACGATCCTATGGAAAGCAAAAAAATAGTTGGATGAACTCTTTCTTACAAGTAGGTGCAGGAACAAAGTCATTTCAGTGTTCTGAACACACAAACCCTTCCTCTCCAATCCCCTCACCTGCTCACCTGGTTTCCTGCCCACCTGGCATGCTGTTGGCAGTGGTAATAGCGCCATAAATCCTAGGGCAGCTGCATAGAGTGGGACACAAGAAGCCCCATTACCTCCACCACTCCCATGCCTCTGCTGCTGGAGGACCTGCTGAATGCATGTTATAAGGGGACACTTCTTTTCAAGAGCTTTAAAAGTGAGCAGATTTCTGGAGTCTTCAAATTGCACTCCAGTTTACAAATGGAAGCTGCTGTTTGCTCACCCCAACTTACGGCACAGTGACTCCTCCCCGCTAGTCCCACGTGTCATAGAATCAAGGGACCACAAGGGTCATCTAATCCAACCCCCTGCAATGCAGAAAATTTTTTTGCTCAACATGGGGCTCGAACCCACAAGCCTGATATTAAGACTCTCATGCCACACTGACTGAGCTACCCTGAGCTATAGACAAGACAGATGCAAAGACCAGTGCAGAAGGATTCGATTTTTAACACAGGAGTCAGGGGATAAGTAGCTGCTGCTTCTTGATCCATACCCTGCCATGACCCTAAAAAGAGCTGTACTCTTAGTGGGACATCTATATTGCCGGAGATTTATTTGGGGGTGCTGGGAGCCTAGCTGTAGTGGATAGAACATTCAATGAAACAGCAGTTCCACCCCATCCTAACCCTCCTCAGGTGGACTTCTCCAGGGTTTAGGATTGCTTTGCTCGTTTATCTCACCAACTAGTAAAGCTTTTACTATTATACTGATAATGCAAGCCCTGCCCATCTCCCGGGTTGGATCTCGACACATCAAAGAAGCATTTCAGTTAAAGGCATTGTAAACTTTGTATGAGAAATTGGGTTGGCAAAAATGGAACTCTACAGCGCCTTCTGGTGTCACAGTGTTATAATGCATATACAATGCCTATAAAGCACTTTCTCTTTGCCAATGTAGCTGAGTCCCTGGAGATCATATGCCACTGGCAGCAGAAGCAAAGCTATACAATCATCTCTCGGTACGGCAAAATTGGCTCAAACTGACTGCAGTCTTTATTTTAATCTCTGTTGCCTATTCTTTCATTTCCCTTTTCTCTCTGCCCACTAAAAGGAGGTGTTGCCATTTAAAGGCAATCCCTTCCCTGCCCTCTGTGAAATGAGGATTTGCCCTGGTGCGGAGAGGGTTAGAAAAAGCCAGAAGTGTGAAGAGGAAGGGTGTTAATGTGTCTCCGAATTTGTTAACTGACCTCAGATTCTCTCTGAAGGAATAAGCTAGGCAATAGCAGAGGCAGTCAACAGCATGGCTGTGAGTCTAATGACACCACATCCAGCTGCTACAATCATGGAAATTGCTCCTAGCATTTAACTGCTGTAGCCCAGTTCACACATTATGATCTCCCACGCTTGAGGACTGCCCATGCAGAAAAACAATAATAATTCTGGGAAGCTGGTATAGTATGGTGACTAAGAACGTGAGTGAGAAAACTCCCTGTTCAAGTCTCAACTCAGTCAAGAATTCATTACGTGGTGTTACACAAGCCAGTCAGTCCCAGACTCAGAATCCAATCACAAATAATTGGGAAAACAATTTCCTGATTCAGGAGTTTGGTATAATGGGCATTCAGTACCCATTTCCTAGAATGTGTCTATCCAGTCCCACATTGATGTCCAAGTATGTGCAGAACATGCAGTGATGCAAGACAGGTCTATGAATGTCAATACATGGATGGCATGCATAGCAGCTAACCCACATGAGAATAAGCGTCCCAGGACAGCTGAAACTGACCTATCTCACAACAGTGCTGTAAAGATAACAAAGATAATAATGTGAAGTTATTTGAACAGTCAACAGAGTGTTTAGCAATATCATTCCACTGTGATTTGATGCACAAGGCTCATTACCCAGTGCAGGTTCAAGGAATGAGATTTTGGCTGATGAGAACAATCATTAGGAGCCAATTTCATATATCTAAGAATAATAATAATCAGCAAACCAATCACCAGCACCCATCTGAGTACTAAAAATGTTGCAGTAGTTTTCACGATAAATCACACAGCACCGAAAAGGTCATTTGAGTCCCAGCCTTGAGCTATTGATCATCCGTACAAAGCATCTCTAAAATTGCTGATGAGAAAGCAAATGCATTAACTTCCTTGGTTATGAAATTTAATTGTAATTGTAAATGCTGTTTGCATTTGTTTCTTGCTTGAAGCTAAAGGACCTAAAGCTGTGAGGTTAAACACCCTAATGTGAATTCCAGTATCTTGTGAAATCTGAAAACACTCTCAAATCTAATGCTTTTTCCACTAGACAGACGTTTTAAACTTTATTGTAGATACACACGCACCCATCAGTACACAGTCCAAGACAAACACCTTAAGTTCAGGGATTTCAACAGATGTGTGAATCGATCCTTTGCACTCAAAAGTAAGTCCTGTTGATTACATAGGGGTTTACAGTACTTCCAAATAAGTTTCCACAAAACTGCAGCAGCCTAAGGCTGCAATCCTAACACACCAGCGAGTGTGTCATATTGGACACAGTTGGCCTTACTTCTGAGTAAACATGCTTAAAAGATTTCACTCTTACACACACTTCAATCTGAAATCATATGCACGTTTGCATGGAAGGAAGTCCTACTACTCAGTAAATATGTTTAGGATTACACTGTAACTCTGTTTTGAATTGTAACCTAAGACAACAGTTTGCATTTCATAGGACAGCGGTTGCCAAACTCCTCACCAACCATGGACTGCTTGAAAATTGCTGGTGGACCACTTAATAATTTTTCTAGCTTTTGTAGCAACTTTAATGCACTGTGCTAGATGCTGTATGATTTTAAATTGTACTTTTATTGCTTCCTTTACTCCAGATAGACTGCATTTTATTTTACTACATTTTCAATTCCATAGGATTTGAATGGTAATACAATAAAATGTAATAGAAGAAATGAAGAAGCGCAAAAAAGGAACCCAATTAAAAATCAATAGCAACATTTAATGTGATGGATCTGCTGCCTCTTGTCTTCAACTGCAAATTCACTGACACACCACAGACCACCTGAATGTAGCTCCCGTAGACCACCATGTAGCTCCACAGACCACAATTTCTGAACCCCTCTCATAGCAGACTTCACCCATTCAAAAACCTCACCTGAGACTGAAATCACATCTATTTGTCCTGCGCTGGGAATATAAAACCGTGTTTGTCACAAACATATAGCAAAAGTAACTGGCATTTAAACTTATTCCCATAGCTAAATTGGGGTAATAGAAAGTTATTCTCATTAATGTACTCATAGCATCTTCAACATATTACTCCCGATACTGAACATATTTACTAGGAAGGAAAGTACAGTGGTACCTTGGGTTAAGAACTTAATTCGTTCTGGGGGTCCATTCTTAACCTGAAACTGTTCTTAACCTGAAACACCACTTTAGCTAATGGGGCCTCCCACTGCCGCCACACCGCTGGAGCACGATTTCTGTTCTCATCCTGAAGCAAAGTTCTTAACCCAGGGTACTATTTCTGGGTTAGCGGAGTCTGTAACCTGAAGCGTCTGTAACCTGAAGCGTCTGTAACCTGAGGTACCACTGTATTGCTTACTCTATTGGAATTTATGGGGCTATTTCCAAATAAATGCCCTACTCCACCCTATAAAGAAAATCTAATGCATTCTGGGGCTTTTAGTTGAAAAAGAGCACTATGAGTGAATGTCACAGAGTATTATAAAATTATGTGTCTAAAAAGTGGGAAAGGTTTTTCTCACTCTGATAGCTTATTTAACGGATGCCTTTTCTAAAAAAAAGTATTAAAAATTCTGTGTGAACACGTTTTCTCACAAAATATGTACTTCTGAACGCACATTCTGAGTTTGCTTTTCTGAACATATCTTGTCTCAAAAGTAACATATTATATGCATTTTGGCATCACACAAAAATTGGAGAATTGCAAAAGTCACCGGAAAAGTGCATTCTGATCTGCACATTCATCCTGGAATTGTAGATCAGGTCAACTGATATTGGAATTCATAAAGAAGGAATTCCTCAAGCATCCCTGTTCACAGTGCTAAAATCCAGGGGCTGGAGATTTGGGACAAACAATAGGAAATCTTCACACACTACATAACTCACCACCCAAAGACATGGTGATAGCCTTTGGCTTAGGCAGTTTTGAAAGGAATCTGACACACTGATGGAAGGCAAGCCTAGCAATGGCTATTAGCCACTAGAAGAGGGGTCACAGCTCAGGGATACAGCACACATTTTGCAATCAGAAAACCTCAGGTTCAAGTCTTGGCATTTCTTGTTAAAACAATTTGGAGCCTCACAGATGTAGTCCAACAACAGCTCCCATTTATCCCTGACTTTTGACCATGCTGGCCTGGGCTATTGAGAACTAGAGTCCCAGAACATCAGGAAAGCACCATCAAAAAGGCAACACACACCATACATTCATCCCATTGGCCAGCCCTGGGTTAAAAGAATCAGGTAGCAGGTTATCAGGAAGACCTTGGCCTGAGACCCTGGAGAGCCCACTGCCAGTCAAAGTACAAAGTGGAGAACCAGAGTCGGAAAAAGAAGTCCACATGTCCCCTTGTCCACTGCTGGAAGCTGATCGCAGATGCTGCTTTCTTATCGGGGATGCAATCAACAGCAAGCCTTAGTTAGATGAGGCAGTCTTTGCATTGCATAGAAACAATTCAGAAAGGTTTCGTTTTTGACCTTGGATGTGTCATCCTCAGACCTGTGAACTGGACCACCAGCTCCTCTCGCTAGCACATATGTGCACCAATGATGTCGAGGAAACAAACATACTGGAGCAATCCAACTCTGACCAGCTTGTGTCACACAAGGTGCCACAACAGCTGTCACAACACAAGTTTGGCTGTTGCTGCAACACCTACAAGAATGGCTACATAGTCTGATTACAGTGCTCATGTACTTAGGATCAAGCTGCCAATCATTTTAAATCTGAAACAATTCCACTGAACTGCTATTTAAGCACATCTAGGCTGCAGATTCAGAGGGGAAGGTGCCCTTAGCATTTAGCAACAAGCTAAACTCCTGCCCCACAAGGCAGACAGAAAGGACCAAGGTACAACCCTAAAGAGTAACTCATAGGAACCTTGTGCCGTAAGTTCTCACCAGCAACCTCATCTTATGAACAGTTGGGTTCATCAGCCTAGGCCCACTTATTTAGGTGTGCCTAGCTCTGCATATGATAGGGCTATGGACTGGGCTGGAGTGATATAGCGATGGATAAATACAGTTTAATCTGAAGAATGCAGGCCAGAGTACTGAAGTAGATAAGATGCTGGGAAATATTCAATCAACATTTTGATTAAAAAACTGAAATCCAACCTGGCAGGGACTTCAAATATGACACGTGTGTGTATGTGTTGGGGGGTGTTGCTTAGAATCATAAAATCATAGAATTGAAGAGTTGGAAAGCATCCTAAGGGTCATCTAGTCCAACCTCATGCAATGTGGGAATTTCAGCTAAAACATCCATAACTGATGGCCATCCAACCTCTGCTTAAAAACCTCCAAGGAAGGAGAGACCAGCTTTTACCATTATAAAGTTCTTCCTGATGTTTAGTCTGGATCTCCTTTCTTGAAACTTGAAGCCATTGAGTCCTACCTTCCAGAGCAGGAGAAAACAAGCTTGCTCCATCTTGCATGTGACAGCCCTTTAGATAGTTGGCTATCCTATCTCCTTTTAGTCTCCTCTTATCTAGACTAAACATACCCAGCGCCCACAACTGTTCCTCATAAGGCTTGGTTTCCAGACCCTTGGTCACCCTTAACCTTTTTTCCTCCTTAGGCCACTTTTTCCAGTCAAAATTGACCCAACTGTTTTTCCACCTGCAGACAGAAAGATATACTGCCTAAATTAGCCCCATGGGTAGAAAAGCAGGTGTATGGGGGACGATTCTAATTGGAAAAAAGTCTTTTGGCATCTTGTTCTCATAAAACTTCAATGTATTCTCCTTCTACAGAGATCAACCAAAAATATTTTACACACACACAAACCAGGTAGGAACTGCTGGAACTATCACCAAAACCTGCTTTCATGTATACACAAAAAGCAGATATGAACTGCTGAAACTATCACCAAGATTGGCTTCCATTTCAAAACCGACCACTCGTTCCTGATATTTGAGGGATAATGTTAACCTAGTCAGTCTCTCAACATAACACCACAAAAAGCAACTTAATCTAGACAATGGGCAACAGCTTTTCCTTTGAAAGCCCTTCTGCCTTGCAGCCAAGCCTCTTTGCCCATTAATACAGCACATTATGCAATAAAAAAATTACATAGCTGTTGCAGGGGTTTTTTATATAAAAAAATGAAACACAGGGTGAGATTTATTCAATGAAGTGAAGATTACTGTAGCCAAAACAATGTCCACCAACTGTGAATAACTTCAAAGTGTGTCACAGTTAATTGGTTCATTGCTCAGCTGTTAAAGAAGTGATAGTTATATGCACCATAAACTTTATTGAATATTTCCCCCCCTTATTTCAATTATCTGCAGCATTAACACAGAAAATTGCAAACAGTGTTAAGGTATTGCAGCCTTGCTTTCGCTGCTGTCATTACTTCCTTTTACTTTTGCTGATGGTTGACACGGGATCTGAATTTCCATGGGCATTGCACTACAAACATTACTCATTCCTGACTGTGCTCTCTTCTACACCCACGCCTCTCAAAACACTTACTTTCTGTTCTGGTGATCCACCTCCCTCTACACCTGTCGAAAATAACCCTGCATATATTCAGAGCAAGAGCAAGGGAAGGCAAAACAAGCGAGAGCAGAGCCCTTGATCAATGAGCCTCTGATGATGAATCATCGCCCCACAGAACACCTGTTTCCAGACCAATATTTCTTCCAAAAGAAGCCTCAAGGCATCAACACTATCTTCAAAGGGGGGAAAAGGAGCGGGGAGAATTCTTGACTTACTGAATACAGGCTGGTTTGGAATCAATAGAGAGTCAAAGGAAAATAAGCTGCTTCAACTTACTCATACCTTTTGGATCCTCCGACGTAGGTGAAGGTAAAAGTGGAATCTGCGTATCTGAAATCTGAAACACAAAAGAGCTGTGTTGTTGCTGAACGCTTATTGTTCGTTTTGTGCATGACGCCTGGCGTGTGAACTTGCCTCTCGTGTTCAGCCCACCCCCAGCCAGCCACCAATATGGGCACAGGGATTAAGTCTGAAGTGGGGGTGGGGGTGGAGAGAGAAATAATGTTACAGCAGGAACCCCCCTCCCCTCCCTGCAACAAGTGCTGCCTCGGTACTATGGCAACGGAAAGAATTTCCATTGTCAGTAAAGGCAACAGGCAGCAACAAGCCAGACTGCTAAACGCATATTAAACATTGCAAGTAATGATCATAGAGGAAAGCAACAAGCCAAATATTGAGGAGGGAGAGATGGGGTGGAGAGAGAGATAGATCACAAAAAGGAAGACAGCCCAGCTCTGGACATCTGTAGATAATAATATCTCAAGTTCCACCCTGGAAGAAGCCTTCTTCTATGCCACCATCAGCCTGCTCCTCATACACACAAAATATGGGCACAGTTTTGTGTTGGGTTTATATATATATATATATATATATATGTGTGTGTGTGTGTGTGTGTGTGTGTGTTTAGCTCTGCTGATCACACACACCAAAACACAAAACGGGGGAGACTCTTGAGAAATCAGTCAGATGGAAGATCTGACCAAATAGATCAAAAGGCAACCTAACTGAGGAAAGCATCCAGCGCTTGAGGTTCACTTAGGTGCCCCACAGAGCATTAGTGTTGTGTGTGCGTGTCTGTATGTACCAGGGTGGGGGGAAGGAGGGAGAGATCCTTGCAAGCTTTGGGGGGGGGGGGGAGATCAGCGTTGTTCTCACAGAGAACTGTCAACAGAAAATCGTGATGCCATTTGGGGGGGAGGCGACACCAAAAGACCCCCCCCCCAAAAAAAACACACACACACGCCCGAAAGCATTTCATGGGCGCGGGAATGGGGGGCATCGAGGAATAACCAAGAGCAGCGGCTGGCAAACTCACCTGCAAACAGGCAGTCCTTTTCCGCCTTGCACTTTTGGATCACAATGTCAATATCCTTCTGAATCCTCTCTTGCCTTGAACACATCCCCATGAACTAAATCCCTGGGGGAGGAAAAAAATTAAAAAAGAAAAAAAAAAGAGCAGCCTTCGGATTTCCAACCCCGCCGCCGCCACCTCCTCCTCCACCACCACCACCACCTCCCTCGCTCGCTCGTTGGCTTCCTTCCTTCCTTGTCTGCCAGTGTTAAGAGGCAGTTAAAAGATGGAAACCTCCGAGGAAGGATGGGGGGTTAGCGGGGAAAGAAAAATAGCCAGAAGGCGAGGGGGGAAAGGTCTTCCTCCTCCTTGTTTGCTCCCCACCCCGGAGGAAAGGTCGATGTTGCATGCCCAGATGCGCTCGCCCAGATGTGCAGAGCGATGTGCTCCTCCTCCTCTTCTTCCTCCTCCTCCTCCCGGCTTCGACAATAGATCCGAGAGTCAGGGGGTCGAGAGGGATCCTGGCACTCGGGGAGCCGCGGGGGGAAGGCAGCCAGGCGGCAGCAGCAGCAGCAGCAGCACCCGGGAGATCGAGGCAGAGCCCACCGAATCGGAACCGGAGGCTTCACATCCCGGCTCCCCTCCGCCACCGCGGGGCGGGAGAGATGTTGACAAGGAGGAAAGGAGGAGGAGGAGGAGGAGAAGGAGGAGGAGGAGGCGAAAGGAGAGCAACCCCCAAGAAGCCTCGGCGGCGGCGGCGGCGACGGAGGCAGCTGGAAGCGGCAGGCGGGCGAGCGAGGCTCTTCCCCCGTCGGCATCCACCCGCGCGCGCACACTGGCGGCTCCCCGAGAGGCCGACACTTCTGCAGCGACGCCAAGCCGCAAACCCCTCCCCTCGCCGCCGCCGCCGCCGCTCCCAGCCCAGACACTCCGCCCGCCACACGTACTGTTGCTCGCCGACGCCGGAGCCGGTGGAGGCGGAGGAGCAGCAGGAGGAGGCGGAGAGGTCTCCAGGCGAGCGGCCGCCGCGCTCCCCTGCCAGGCGGCTCTTCCCGGGAGAGGTGGCTCCCTCGGGGAGCGGCTAGAGGAGGAGGCGGCGGCGGCGGCGGCGGCGGCGGCGGCTCGTGGTGGGCGCGGGGCAAAAAAGGCTCCTTTGCGCGCGAGTCCCGCCAGCTCCTGCGCTGCCCTTTTAGGATACTGGGTTGGGTTAGGTTAGGCCTCGGCGCGGCCAAGCGGGGGGGGTTGAGGCGGGAGGGGACGGACCTGTGGCCCTTCAGGGGCTGCTGGCCTGCAACGCCCGTCGTCCCTGACCATTGGGCATGCTGGCCGAGGCTCTTGGGAGTTGGAGTGTGGCATCGTCTGGAAGCCCAACTCCCAGGGGCTGAGGTCCTCCAATAAAAGATTTGAGGGGGCTGCCCCCCCCAGTTGATGGACATTGACATTCAGATGGTGTGCACGTGCTGCATCATGTGATCGATGACACGGGGCGGGGCTTAGCTGAGCCCCCCAATATTTTTTTCGAGTTGGCATCCCTGCATAAGGCATCCTTGTCCTGGCTTGATGCCTGACCTGGAAGGTCAGGCTTGCTGGGTGGTCTCATTGTTCAGCTTTACATACCTCACAGGGCTGTTGTGAGGATACCTCAGTTGGTAAAGCATGAGGCTCTTAATCTCCAGGCTGTGCATTCAAGACCCACTTGCATTTCAGGGGATTGGACTGGATGACCCATGGTCTCTTAGGACTCTACAGTTCTAAAGGTGATGCATCACTGTGATAAATAAATTCTCACTTGGTCCTGAAGCTCCCTGGGTAGCCATGGGTTAAGCACCCCTTCTCATCCCAGACTACCTCACAGAGTTGTTGTGAGGAGAAAAAGTTGGAGGGAGAGAAAAGCAGTGAAAAGGTGAGATATAACACAGACAGACATGTTACTGGTCACACTTGGGAAGTTTAAGCAAGGGAGGGCTTTTATGCCTGCCCTGAATCCTATATGAAGTGGACCTTGAAATCAGTTCTTCTGGTCTTTAGTCCTCGTAACCTAAGCACAGCCTTGGGGCCAAGCCAGATGTGACTGCCATGATGGGTGCCTGCCTAACTCTTTGGTGTGCACTCCTTCCATCAAGTTCAGGCATGTGAATGGGTCACCCCATATGGCGAATGTGTTTATACATAGCAGTGGAAGTCGCATGCATTCCAATGTGGATGGCTTAGAACAGGACCCATTCATGGAGGATAAGGCTATCCGTGGCTTCTAGCCATGATGTCTATGATCTACCTCCACAGTCTTCTGAATATTAGATGCTGGAAATCCCAGGAGAAGAGAGTGCTCTTGTGGTCAGGTTCATCTTGAGATTTTCCCTCAGACATCTGGTTGGCAACTCTGAGAACAGGATGCTGAACCAGATGGGCAATTTGCCTGATCCAGCATGACTTTCCTTATGTCAGCCTTGCAAAATCCATAGTCCCAGGAACCCCGCAACATCCAGGGCCTTGCAAGAATTTTGCATATGACACTAAAGAGACCTTTATAGCTCACCAGGATTTGGTTCACACCTGTGTTAAAACCAGGAATGGGGGGGGGGCAGTTAAACAACTCCCCCAAAAATCCCAAGTCCCCATCACAGCCTCTAACTAAGGCCAAGACAATGACCGTTGACACAAGCACCATACATACGCAACAGCAAAGAGGCTCAGAAAAGCAGTCTATAAAATTGTAGCAATAAGCGGATACCATGTATCGTACTGTTTCCTTTGACTATCCAATATAGAATCAAATAATTCCCAAAATTCAACAGTTTGACTGATTTCCTTGGTTCCAACACCTAATGACTCCTCTGGAAGAGGGGAATCCAGGGCTCCCCCCTGCCTCCATAATCCCTTAAGCATAAGGTTACATACTCCTTGCCCCTTTACAAGATATGAACTTAGCCACACAATAGAAGGCAGGAGGCAATCAAGGGCAGCACATACTCCAGACAGAAATCCATCAGATGGTGGATTGAATCCTGATACTTTCAAAGGAGAAGCACACGAAAGCCTTGCAGCTAGGGGGATGTGTAAATAGTTTTATTGTTCTTAGGGGAAGAGGGTAGTTAAAAGGTGTCAAGAACTGGGGTTATTGACAGGGGTGGGTGAGGGCTCATGCTTCTACATGCCAAACATTCCTACTTGGTGACATATTTGTGATGTATTGATGATGCTGTTGAAAAATGTATTATGGGAAATAGGGAGAGGTCTTAAAAGTTCAAGCAATCCCATGCTCGGGATTCCTACTCTTTGTGTGTTTGAACCTTGCTGCAACAAATAAAGATCAGGTCTATTGACCGCTGTTTGCTTTAACTTGGCTTTGAGACTCCTTCTTTTGCTGACTGCAGAGATCCGCAGGGAGTGGCACCCCGACGAGCTGGGCAGCAGAGTAAATCCACACCCCAGGTTTTTTCTTTATCACCTGCATGCAGGCCACTTGATTTCTTTACACTTGATTTCTGTGGCCTCTTACCAGCAGCTGAATGTGTCTACTTGTTCGAGCTTTAAGCCATGGCAGAAGATCTGTCTGTACTGCTGTTACCCATTACGTCCCCTTTGCAAAGGCTGAACATCAGCACCCAGCACCCTTAGACAGCTGCCATGGCCCACCAGCACTGATGCCTTTGGGTCTGTGAGCTACCAGTTTAATTCCCCGCAATGTCCCTAACACTCCAGGGCATTGTGGGAAATTCAGATGGTCACCTTGTATTCTCACTGCCGCTTGCCAGGCGAAACCACTTTGACTACTTTTTTTGCTCTTGCATGGTCGGGCCAAATACCCCAATAGGGCTGTGGTTAGACGTATACCTGAAATGTATTTGGCGTGCCCCTTTAAAAAAAAATCCAATGTGTGAAGAGGCAAACTATTAGTGTACAAGTGTGTGTGTGTGTGTGTGTGTGTGTGTGTGTGTGTGATTAAAGCTCAACAAGAAACAGTAAGAGGTCATTTTTAAATGAAGGGTGTATAGTTGATTTGCAAACACAGGAAATGCACATAGCACTTTTCAATGCGATGTGTCAAAATGCCTTCAGCCTCTGTGGGGGAAAGAGGCAGATTAAGCAGCAAATGCACCACTGGCTAGGAGAGAAAATGAAACTGTAGGCTAACAAAGGGTGAGCCAGTGGCTAGAACACAACTAGGGCACTGTAGTTTAGTTGAAGGCAGGTAGATCAGTGGTAGAGCATCTGTTTTGCATGCAGAAGGTTCTTGGTTCAATCCCTGGCATTTCCAGGTGGGACTGGGAGAGGTTTCTGTTTTAAACTCTGGAAAGCCAACTCTGGAGTCAGCCATGTAGACAATACAGACCTAGAGAGCCAGTGTGGTGTCGTGGTTAAGAGCGGTAGACTCGTAATCTGGGGAACCGGGTTCGCGTCTCCGCTCCTCCACATGCAGCTGCTGGGTGACCTTGGGCCAGTCACACTTCTCTGAAGTCTCTCAGCCCCACTCACCTCACAGAGTATTTGTTGTGGGGGAGGAAGGGAAAGGAGAATGTTAGCCGCTTTGAGACTCCTGAAGGGGAGTGAAAGGCGGGATATCAAATCCAAACTCTTCTCTTCTTCAGTGTCTCTGGCTCAGTATAAGACAGCTTCCTATGTTCCTCAGGAACAAGGGGTGTGCCTGGTTCTACCATTAGGGAAGTCAGCGGGCTGCCTCAGGCAGCTGATTTTGGGGGTCATGAAAGGGTAACAAATTGTTGGTGATGAAACATAGTATCATTGTCTTTGGCTGGTCCAGGGGGTTTCCTCTAAGCCAGGGGTGGGCAGAAGGTGTTGGAACCATACCACTCATGTCAAGGACATTTAAAACACATGGCTTCCCTCTGAGAACTGTAAGCGTGTGAAGGTTCTGGGAATTGTAGCTCTGTGAGGGATAAACTCCGAGGATTCTTTGGAGAAAGCTGTGTGCTTTCAAGATATGGTGTGCATGCAGATCTGCTGTTATGATTTCCAGTAGGTCGTCAAGAATTTCTCACTCCCGATTGTTTAACAATGACAGCAATAACATGACTGCACACAAAGAAAAACAAAATAGATCCTGCAAGTCAGCTCACTGCTCTAGGTCTTGCATTGCCCCAGGCAAAAAGTTTCCATGCACATTTGTCAGCTGGGCTAGATATATTGCCTAAAATTTTCATATCTCTAATAGCATGCAGTCCCTTGTAGGTTCCCTGCCCCGTCTGCAAAAGTGATAATAATAATAATAATAATAATAATAATAATAATAATAATAATAAATTTTATTTATATCCCGCCCTCCCCAGCTGAAGCCGGGCTCAGGGTGGCTAACAGCACTAAAATAGTGCAACATTATAAAAACATTATAAAAATTAATTAAAACCAAAATTGATGGCAACCATAAACTAAAGTTTTGTAAAGATTGCCAAAGGAGGGAGTCAGGCTGCGCCCTGACCAAAGGCCTGGTGGAACAGCTCTGTCTTGCAGGCCCTGCGGAAAGATCTCAAGTCCCGCAGGGCCCTTGTCTCTTGTGACAGACTTGTGATAAGTCTGTACATGTCTCTTGAAATTCTGCAGAAAACTCAGATGGAAGGAGAAATATAATAGAGCTTCCTGGAAGAATGCATGGTTGGCTGGCTGCAACCCTGAACTGGAGCAGTCCATGCTGCGACATTTTGTTGCAGGTCCCACTTGTACACTCTTGAATACTAGGAACAGACAATGAAGGAAAGCCACCACAGTCATGCTTCCATAGGCATCTGCTAGCCTATGGTTCAGTAAAATACTGAACTAGATGGATCTTGGTCTGGTTCAGCAAAGAAGTTCTTATGTTCACAGACACATTTTTATGACTGCAGAACTGCATATGTGAACAGCTCCCTTGGCGTTCTCCATCCTTGGCTGCAGACCAGATTACTTTGACCCCAGCTAAGGGCTCAGTGAAAGTATTGTTAAGTTAATTTCCTACTCGTCCAACGCCTGAAAGTGCTGGGGCAGGAGGAAAGTAACATTGAGCAAGGGAGACTGACATAAAGAAAGGGCAGGGAGATTTGGGTTGGCAGGCAACACTAGCTCTGCATTTTGTTTTGTTATTAAATCTTCCTGTTTCCATATAAGTAACATATACACCTTGTTTCCATTTAAGTAACAGTATAAATCTTGTTTCCATTGAAGTAACAATATATTCTCTTTTTTAAAAATGATAGATACATTTGCAATTTGTAACATATGGTATATATAGTGGCAAGTAGTTCCCAAACATCTCACGATAGTTCATCTCCAGAACAGGACTCTAAACCTCACTCAGATTATACACCCATATCATCACATCCAGAATTCCTCATGGTTCAGAGTGAATGTTTCAATATTACAATGACCTTTATCATGCTTAAGGGTTCCTGCAAAAAAACAACAACCCAACTACACCTCCTTTATCTACAATTACTCGTCTGTGAATTTTAATATAAGGTAAAGGACAACTTAAGGAAATGATTGCTTAAGGAAGATTGTCATGGTAAGAAGGGAAATGCGTCTGAACCAAGAAAATAAAAGTTTTTGTTTAACTTACATGCTTTCAATGCTAAAAAATTCATAAGCACCAATATATGCCTAAACCAGGCTTCCTCAACCTTGGCCCTCCAGATGTTTTTGGCCTACAACTCCCATGATCCCTAGCTAGCAAGACCAGTGGTCAGGGATGATGGGAACTATAGTCTCAAAACATCTGGAGGGCCGAGGTTGAGGAAGCCTGGCCTAAACACTTGACTTTGGCAAGAGGGTTCTAGAAATATCATATGGCAGCCCCACCTAGTGAAGAAGGCTAGAAAGCCTGCTCTTCTCTTTCTGGTCTGTAGATATGTTTATCTGCTATTGAAGTTGCAGGATCTATCCTCATATCAGTGTGTAAAGAGCTGAGTCCCGTTCCTATGGGTAGTATATAACCATTTGCACCAGAACATAGGAACATGGGATGCTGACTCAGAACATTAGTTAATTGAAAGGAATGTAGCTCAGGGGTAGAGCTTCTGTTTGTAGGCAGAAGGTCCCAGGTTCAATCCCTGCCAGGTAGGACTGGGAAGAGGCCTTTGTCTGAAACTCTAGAAAGCTGTTAGCTTGTTTACATGAGCTACATGGGCCAATGATCTGACTCAGTATCAGGCAACTGCACTGCAGTGGGTTGGACTACATGACCCTAGTCCTACCAACTCTACCCTCACTGGCAATAGCTTTCTGGGGTTTCAGACAGGGGTCTCTCCCAGTCCTACTTGGAGATGATGATGTAGAAGAAGAGTTTGGATTTGATATCCCGCTTTATCACTACCCTAAGGAGTCTCAAAGCGGCTAACATTCTCCTTTCCCTTCCTCCCCCACAACAAACACTCTGTGAGGTGAGTGGGGCTGAGAGACTTCAGAGAAGTGTGACTAGCCCAAGGTCACTGAAACTGACCCAGGGACCTTTTGCATGAAAATCAGGTGCTCTGCCCCAGAGCTACAGCCCTTGGCATATCCCCCACATTCCCTTCAATGCTTTCTTTCCACAATGAAACTTGTCTTGGACAAATTGATTTGCAATGTTGGACTAGCCTAGTGTCGTGTCCCAAGTCTTCTCTTGCTCCCATCCACTTTTCTACTTTTCCTGATACAGGATAAGATCAGGCCATGCAATTCAGAGGTTTGAAAAATTCCCAATCGCAAGCAAGGTTAAAGAATGTTGCTGGGAATTTACGTTTATGGCACTCCTTAATTCTGAAAACAATGGATTAAAGGGATTTCTTAAACTTCACAATAATGCAATACATTACTGTGTCTCCTTCACTATGAGCCTTCTATTGTCTGAGAGCTATTTGATGTTTGCGAAGTACTTTGTTACTAACAATCTTGTTTTCATGGAACTAACAACCCCTCCATTGTGTGTTATAACTTGTTTGTATGTAAAGCTAAGCATCAGTCTTCTAATTTCTAGCCAAAGAAGAGTGCTGCCCCTTCTGAGAGCCACCACACTTGATAACAGGATGCTGGACTAGATAGGCCTCTGGTCTGATCCATCAGGGCTCTTCTTACAATGAGAGAAAACAATTAATGAAAGACTTTCCTGAAAAGTGTCCAGGTTAGATCAAAGCAACAGGAAAAGCTGGCAGCTTGATCCAAAACATATTTGTCCAGAAGAAAATGCCATGGAGGTTTGTTTTTCTTAGTAAACTCACTTGACATTTGCAGCTAACCACTGGTACTTCAGAAACAAACGACTTTGAAGTCCCATCTCATTACCAATAATTAAAGATGTCACCTGGACAAAGGTTGTTGTTTAGTCGTTTAGTCATGTCCAACTCTTCATGACCCCATGGACCAGAGCACGCCAGGCACTCCTGTCTTCCACTGCCTCCCACAGTTGGTCAAACTCATGCTGGTATCTTCGAGAACACTGTCCAACCATCTCGTCCTCTGTCGTCCCCTTCTCCTTGTGCCCTCCATCTTTCCCAATATCAGGGTCTTTTCCAGGGAGTCTTTTCTTCTCATGAGGTGGCCAAAGTATTGGAGCCTCAGCTTCAGGATCTGTCCTTCCAGTGAGCACTCAGGGCTGATTTCCTTCAGAATGGATAGGTTTGATCTTCTTGCAGTCCATGGAGTCTCCTCCAGCACCCTTTCAGAACTTGAAATATGGGTACCCCCAACAAAATTTAAAATTAGGCTCTGTAATTCGGAACTTATGTGATTTGATTTGATTTGATTTGATATGATTGGTCTGTTAATAATATATATTTTTTTTTTAAAAAAAGAGTCTCCTCCAGCACCATAATTCAAAAGCATCAATTCTTCGGCGATCAGCCTTCTTTATGGTCCAGCTCTCACTTCCATACATCACTACTGGGGAAACCATAGCTTTAACTATACGGACCTTTGTTGGCAAGGTGATGTCTCTGCTTTTTAAGATGCTGTCACAGCAAGGAATAAGTAATGTATTCGTAATCCTTCATGGACTTATCAGATTGTAAATTTCATCTCACTGTGGTTTTCCCACATTCCTAGGGTTGGACCATTTTTGGTCCATTTCAATTCTGGGATTGTATTATCTCTCCCTTCATTTTATCAATGAAACTGGATGCAATCTAGGCCAAAACTAAACACCTTCCAACAGGGTTGTTACTAGGTACTTTGGACACAGGCCCATCGTAAAACAAATTTGTGCCTGGGACAAATCAGGATGACAAGTGGCATGCCCACCCTGTAAGAAAATAATAATAATAATAATAATAATAATAATAATAATAATCCTTCCAGTAGCACCTCAGAGACCAACTAAGTTTGTTATTGGTATGAGCTTTCGTGTGCATGCACACTTCTTCAGGTACCTGAACACACATGCACATGAAAGCTCAAACCAGTAACAAACTTAGTTGGTCTCTAAGGTGCTACTGGAAGGAATTTTTTAATTTTGTTTCGACTATGGCAGACCCACAGGGCTACCTACCTGTATCTGTAAGAAAAGTTAAACAAATAAATTAAAAGATGTTTCCCAAGCTGTTGTTGCAGCCGAAAGCACTGATTGTATACTGTAGAAAGTGAGGTGGTGCAGGAACACTTTCCAATGCAGTTGTTGGGAGCTGAATTCCAGGGGTTTTTTCTTCACCCACAACACCCTTCTGCACTGGTTGTATGGGAGATGTTCACTGACCATAACTGAAAATTACAGCACGCTCCTACATATGTCTACACAGAAGTGAGTCATTGCTGAATTCAGAAGAACTTCCTCCAAGCAAAGTTGAATACAGAACTGTAACTTCAGTGATGTACCAAACCAGCCTTATTTCCCGCTGGAATGAATGGAGGTGGCATGGGGCTAACTTTTGGTGGCTTGTGCCTGAGATCCATATTAGTGGCTTTCAGCAATCTAGTGTATAAATAGTCACATTTTACACAGTAAAATTCAAATAGGTTCCTTAAACCCAGCCCTGCACCTGGAAAACCAATTAATACCCATCTGCCCAAGAGGCCGGTGAATAATTCATAGCAAATAAATGGGCATGAATCTAGTGGAAGGAGATTTATTTAAGAATTCAAAAGAATATACGTAGATTTTTACACCATACTCTCTCTTCTAATCAGTGCCTATGGTTTATTCATCATTGAGCACAATTGCTTTAGTGCTTTTCCATTAGGCTAGTCTGTATTAATCATGTATTGTTAATGTCAAGCATGGGGGAGCAAAGGCATTGTTTTTAATAAGCACTTGGAACTGCAAATTTAAGAAAAGAATTAAGACCACTGCTTGACGTTTGTTTAGGTGGGCTTTACAGAATTCGATCACAGGCCTAGTGACCTGCAGGCTTTGACAACAAACCATTAGACAGCAAATAACTCAAGTCAAGTGCTGCTGGATTCTGTGTTTATTCTTTCCACCAGTTGATCATAACCACCCTCTCCCTATGCCTTGTCCCTCTTTCTCTGTGCTTCCTTAAGTATTTTTGCCTGACTAGAATGAGTCCTTGAACCCTGACAATGCCTGGATTGTTGAAACCAGTTTATTGTGCAAAGGTTAAAAAAACCAAAAACATGTTGTTTGGTCTGCTTTTCCTCTGTTCCCATCCACCAAAAGGAATCTGGCCACCAGAAGCTTGCCCAGAATGGACTCTTTATGTACTGCTTCTTCTTGTTTTCTAAAGGAGAAAATTAAACCAAGCATTTCCAAACTTGGAAAAACCGCAACACTCTTATTATCACTGGATTTTTGTGTGTTTTATTTTGTTTTTTGCTTGTATTGAAGTGAGAGGTTCCAGTAATCTTTCGCAGTCATAATACATGAACACAACAAATGATTTATTTCTGCTCTCGGTCTTCAAGGCAATCAGAACACAATCAAACACAGTAGTTTCATAAGCCAAAACTTTTCAGAATTTTCATCAGTCAGCTTTACCACCAGGTTTCATTTTCTTCAGATGATGACTTTACCTCTGTGATTATCCAAGAAAGGGTGTGTGTGTGTGTGTGTGTGTGTTTTAAAAAAGATTTTCACTTAGCCTTGGTTCTGAGTCTGACTAATGGATTGGTGGCTGCTGAGTGTGTCAAGATGCTTGTTGTAGCATTTGGTCTAAGCCAGAGATTTTCAAACATTGTCATAGCAAGTCAACATGAATCAAGAGAACTCTCTCGACCCTTTCCAAATATATCTGCTCTTCCCTTCTGTCTTCTGGGCCCCTTGTTACCATTGCCTTGTCAACTCTTTAGCTCCTCTGTTCTATCTCCCACAGTCAGAAGTTAGATGAGTGATGTCACCAAATGTGCTGTAATAGCCTGGTTTGGAATATGCTTGTAAAATGTGCTCATACTCAAAACTTGGCCATTTTCCCCAAAAAGCTCTACACCACACTGGCTGCAACCATCCCCCCCCCCCAGTAACATCTAAAAAAATAGTAATTCTTAGCAATATTCCACTTGCAACCACACTCTCAAGCATCCCCACTAACTTCCATTCAGTCGCCTGGCAATATGTTGTAAATTATGCTTAACCCTGCTGGAGATTTATTTTATTATTTTGACTGAGGATTAGCTGGGTTTTGTTCCATTAGTGGGGATGCTTGAGAGTGTGGTTGCAAGTGGAATATTGCTAAGAATGTATTATTATTTTTTTAGATGTTACTGGTGGGGGGGGGATGGTTGCAGCCAGTGTGGTGTAGTGGTTAAGAGCGGTAGACTCGTAATCTGGTGAACCGGGTTCGCTTTCCCGCTCCTCCACATGCAGCTGATGGGTAACCTTGGGCTAGTCACACTTCTTTGAAGGCTCTCAGCCTCACTCACCTCACAGTGTTTGTTGTGGGGGAGGAAGGGAAGGAGAATGTTAGCTGCTTTGAGACTCCTTTGGGTAGTGATAAAGCAGGATATCAAATCCAAACTCTTCTTTGATTTCAGTTATTTTATTTAGCTGCTAATTATGGTGTTTTTGGAGGGGGTTTTTTTGCATTTTTGCATTTGACATTCTAATCTATAAAGTCTTTTGTGTTTAAGGGAATGCTTTGTTTTGCTGTCAATCATGCTGCCTTAAATGTGTACAGTGGTACCTCGGGTTAAGTACTTA